CGGAAAGAGTGACCTGAGAAATGATTGGGGTTTAGGCCGAGCCTAGTCAACAGTAGTCGTACATAAAGCATAAATTCTGTTGTAGTCAGAATGTTTCTGACCGAGCAAAGGTTGTAGAGGTTGTTTGTGGAATGAAAGGAAATAAGCGTCAAAAACTTGTACTGGGCACCATTTATTATGAGTAGGATGCAAGGGGATTTCAATAGTATGACCTATGGTGCTGGTTTTTGATTGTTTTAAGAATAGTACATAATGGTCGTTATGTTTTTGTAAGTCCATAGTTCTTAGGTAGTCGGAGGCTGTAATGGTCCTAGTTGTGAATTCGTTGGGATGGAGGAATCCATAAAAAGCTAAATATATAGCTGTCTTTATTACGGTATTAGTTATGGGTTCGAAAGGAGAAGAATCTAATAAATTTATTAGTGAATGGAATATGTTGTTGTCTATGGGTAGTCTTTGTGAGGGGACGTGTGCGTCCAATTTTTTAATGCCTTTAAGTACTGTCTTAATTTGATATGAAGTCAGGAAACCTGTAGCATTTGGTTGTTGGATAAGCATGTGGTGCTGAATGCCCATAAGGTACAGTTTTATAGTGTTGAATGATACTTTAAGGTTGATGTGGCAAAAAGAAGTGAAACACAATATTGATTCTATTGTGAACATGTCTTGAATGTGGAATTCAGTGATGAATTTCTTGAATACGTGAAAAGCCCTGTCGTATGTGTTCCATGATAAGTTTATGTACCAACTGGGGGTCATCTAATGTGGATTGTAGGTTGTCACATTCCAGCATGCCTGTAGGTAAATGTATCAACCAGGCGTGAAATCCTTCAGTCAATCCCGTGATAAGGTAGTTACTGAAATGGCGTGATGGGTGTAGTTGTAACAAAGTGGTGAATAATGTGAGGTTCACGTACGTGAGATATGGTTTAGGAAATTCTTTATTTGGGCACATTGTCTTGGAATGGGCCCTGAAACAGTGTGAACATACATGCATTAACCTGCAAGAGCTGAAACCATAATTACTCGCATTAAAATTATTGCAAACTTGGGATTTGCCTAAAAATACAATATCCCTGCCCAGTTTGTCTTTTAATCCTCTAGCAGGTCCTTGGAAGTTAGAAGCCATTTGGTTTTGTTCAATTTCTGCGAAATTCGGGTAGAAATTGGTGCTATGCGTTGCTGATGCACACACTGCACAAGCTGGGGGCCTGAGTCCTGTAAAGTGCCTGCAGAATAGCTCAGTGTCCAATTTATTCCAATTTATGCTTAAATTGAACTGAGCCAGAGCTGCAGCCACCTTTGCAGAGAAGGAACGGTGGAAATCGTAAAAAGTGGTACCACCGAATTTGTGCCCCAGATCCACCATCTTGTGCATGTATGCATCCAATTCTCCTTTTTTCTCAGGGTAAACTGAGCAGTAAACATCTCTATAAATCCCAAAACCCAGCACGAATTCAGGAATGGATAATTTCTTGTTCAGCCGGGGGTCTCTAGCCCTTAGTACTGCTGAAATATCCCAGTATGCAAAGGTCCTGTTCTCTAGGACATCCTGGGAGGCAATGAGCAATGAGACCAGGTTAACATCCTTGCCTTCCAGAATGTCATTTTTTAGGTGAGATGGGACCATGTGCGAGGGATTAATTGATTCTATAACCGCAATAGATTCAAAGGAATCACCGGGCATAGTATTAGTGAGAGGGTGACTGGTAACTGTAGTATTGGCAGTTGAATGATTAGCACCACCAGCCTCCAATTTATACAGCCTATCACTAATTGTGCCAATGGATACCATTAGAGAAGTCATCATGGCATGGAAAGCTGGTAATTGAGTCCCACTAGGGCCTTCCCCTGCCTCGGAATTGTCGGTGGTAGTGTTCAGTAATCTAAACAACTTTGCCTTCCTAGCAGTAGCTGGGAATGGGATGCAGCGTCTTCTGAGTTCTACTGTGAGATGTGGGATGGTCCATGATCTTAGGGACGAAGGGCTATTCACATCTATACCAGGAACAGGGGTACCAGGCCAAGCGGGTGTGCTGGGTAGTGAAAGTTCCTCAGGGATATCAGGAGTTTGTGACATAACTGAAAAATATAAAAGTGGCTTAATCAATCATCCTGTAATGAATTGGGTGTGTAGTGGTGGGGCTAGCTAAATACCAAGCGGTGAAACAATTATGCTTCGTGAGAGTGACAGATGAGTCCCTGCTAGTGGCCAAGCGGCCTGAGAGGCACTATCTATGCATAGGCCTGAGGGGAAAATGAGGCCACCGAATGTTGTGGCGGGGCGTTGGCCTCTCGGTGTCAATTACAGCATAAGAAAGAATGGGAGTGACAGGTGAGGCCCTCTCTGTGCAACAGTGCAAGGCGGCTAGCTATGAATTGGCCCGAGGGACGTATACCTCCGAGTATGAGGATGGGGGTGTTTGCCTCGCGGAACCACTAGCCTATGGATTAAGACCAGAAAATATATACCTAATTGGGCCATGTAACCTAGGACCAGTATCACTCTAAACATAGAAAGTAGTGGGTTCTGGCGTAGAACCTGATATGTGAGTCACGCCGAGCTGTCAATGTAGAGGTAAACAGCGATTGTCATAGTATCCAGGTATTGACCTGTGGACATGAGAATTGATATATAAACATCTGAATGTAAGGTAGTAGTTTGGCCAGATCATGGGCCCTAAATCAAAAAGAACCTACCCGACACTATGCAGAGGGTAGATTTAAACGGAAGATGATGATGGCTCGCTGTGCTTGTAAAAGCTACCGTCCGAAGTTCAAGAACCTAAAAGAGTAAATTTATACACTTAACTAATTTAATATGTATCATTGGTCCCAAGAATGAATCATAACTTAACTAAGTAATGTAAACATGCGAGCAGATAAGGAAATTTAGCTGAACAGTGTATTTGTACGAAAATGAAATGAACCGAACGCTGGTTCAAACGAATGTGGCTCCGCCGTCTAAAGCTAGAAAGTTTGCGGCGGTTGCTTTACGGCGGGCCTGACTTACAGTTTAACGCGGTGTGGAGCTGGTGGCAAAGTAACGAACGGGCTGTGCGGACGCCAGCGACAGGTAGCAGAGCCAGGGAAGAACCGGACCAGGAGACCACGAGGAAGACAGGTAAGAAAATCCAAAATGGAATCTGAACCGGAAGTTAACGTTTCAGACTCGCCAGACCAGCAACGGTAAGGTGGGAGTGTATTGGCAGCCCTTTTAATGGGAATTCAAGCCCCTCCCACAACTACAGGCCAAGCCTTCAAATATATATATAGTGTTCAAGTAGAGATTGTAGCCGTATAAGTCCAGTGATGTAGATGTATAAAAAACAGATCAATTTTGTATCTTGTAATACCCTTTTTTATTGGACTAACAGAATTTTTTAATGACGTGTTAAGACACTCACAGCTTAAATGGGTGAAACCGCCGTTTAGTTAACCTTCCCCTTTTCAGAGACACAGGCTCTATTGCAGTAGACCGCCAAACTCCTGAACGGAGTATAAGGGAATGTGATAAACCCACGAACAAAGAATCAGCCGAACTCCTTCCACGGCTACAACAGGTGAAATAATACTTCCAAGTAGTAATCCCCCCAAACACGAGACCAAGCTCTGTCTTGAGGGTAAAACAGCAATCTGATTTAATGAGGCCTACCTGTCTGGTATTTATGCAGGTCTCCCACCTGGTTGATACTCCCACAGGGGACCAGATGGGAGACTGGGACACAGAATATGCAGTAGCCAATCACAGTGGCTTCACTCTAAACACTCCCCTTTCCACAAGTAGTAGTGAAGTCAAAGTCTTTCACATTGTTCTTTCGATATACGATTGACTCCATGGGATTACTATGGTCCATTCGTGCAATAAACCTCCCAAACGGACCAGCGTTCGCATGCCCTTGGTTCAAAAGGGGTGGTCGGCAGCTTCAGCGGTGTTAGGTAGAAAAAGTGTCCGTTTTTAGTTCCATAAGTTCTTCGTCGAACACTGCTGTTCATTCGCGTGTTTAAAATGGTGGGCATATGAACGACGACCACCCTGCATACGGTTAGAATGAAGAGGTGTCTGTGGTTAACCACAATGTTCTAATTGAGGCCAATAGGTTAACCAGCTGCACACTTCTCTCCCGGGTGGCCGTCCGTTCAGTAGTTTATTCGGTATATTTTGCAATAAACGAACAGGGACATACGGGCAGGTAATTCCACGAACATAAATGAAACAGATGAACCAGCAATTAGTCTTTACACAGATGGATCTGTCACAACATGCTTTTGGGCAAACCTCCCTTTCTCAAATCTAAAGCATTTTTGAGCAAGATGACACATAGAATTCAAAGATGAGTTGTGGTACAGCGTGGTTATGAGTGCAGATAAGACACAGGTTTGATAGAAAATAGACATCATTCTTACAGAGGGTCGTAAATATCTAGAGTGAAGATCACTGAGTGAGGGGGGAGAGAGAGAAAACAAACAAACAAGCAAACAGTGCAGAAGATGGTGCTAGAACGTGGGAGTGAAAAAAAATATATAATTACTTATATTAAGAATGCATGAATTTCCATCCAAGAGTTACAGGATATGCATGAAGGCCTATATCCAGCATACACAGACACGTACACACTCACACACATGTACATATACACAAGTAGTCTATATGTAAAAGTATACACAACTACATAAACACTATTCACAAGTGCATACAACAATATACATATAAATACAGCCAAATGCCCAAATATATGCACATGCACACCTACACATACATCCACACACAAGCACCAATACATGTGCCTACACATATACCAATGTGCCTACACATTACACCTATTCACATATACATACATGTATATATATATATATATATATATACACACTCAAATAAATATAATATATATATATATATATATATATATTAGAGATGTCGCGAACCGTCCGCGAACTTCTCGCAAACGGTTCGCCACGGTTCGCCATGAGCTGTTTGCGGCGAACTCCGGTCAGCTGACACGTCCTGGCCAATCTCCAGCAGACCCTCCCTCCCAGACCCTCCTACTTCCTGGACAGCATCCATGTTTCAACATGGATGCTGTCCAGGAAGTAGGAGGGCCTGGGAGGGAGGGTCTGCTGGAGATTTCAACATGGATGCTGTCCAGGAAGTAGGAGGGTCTGGGAGGGAGGGTCTGCTGGAGATTGGCCGGGACGTGTCAGCTGACCGGAGTTCGCCGCGAACAGCTCGTGGCGAACCGTGGCGAACCGTTCGCGGACGGTTCGCGGACGGTTCGCGTGATCTCTAATATATATATATAACAAGAAAAATAATCCTGCACTCCACTTTCAAAGCTATACTTGCCCGGTGCTTGTCCAGCAAAACACAGAAAAATAAAACAAGATAGCACTCCCAGGACTTATTCAATCAAAAAAAATATAAAACTTAACTTTTAATCAGTTTCCAAAAAACAGATCGACGTTTCAGTCTGTTAACCACAGACTTTCATCAGGATTAACACATACACTGTAAAAACATACATATATACCAACATACATATTAGCAATCTACTTACCCATCACCAATGTAATTGCATCTCCCTGTCAGCTCAGACCGGGTCTCCCGCGGGTTCCGCCGACGTCAATGCGTGCGTCAAAATGACGTCATCACGTAGTGCCGGCGTCATTACCGTATCACGTGACCACCCGTCCGGCGGCATCATGGGGAGGTTGTTGCTATGGAGAGAAGCTCCATAGCAACCACTAAAATCAAAAACACAAAAGGCTTTAAAGAACAGTTTAAACACAATAGTGTGCATAAGTTAATGGTAATAAACCCAAATACTATATTAATGCCTATTAAATAGGGAACTAAATACTTAAAACAATTATTATTAATGCATCAATATAAAAAAATGCTATAATAATTATACCATTTAAAGGGCAATACCCATAGATTCAAGTGAATGGAGGAATTATTATGAAAATTAAGAATTGAGTTTGAAAAATGAGAAGTTATCCTCTATAATATAAGAGCAAACATGTGTTCAACTGATGTCCCTAAATTATACCAACCCTTATCTATATCCTAAGACAGCCTATCATGGAGGAAAAAGACAAGCAAATATCAAGAAAAAATATATGAAACCAGACAATGATAATAAACTTATTGCCATCATCTATGAGGCATCAAGGGAATATGCCTATCCCACCGGGTGGGCATCATTCCCCAACTTCATATCATCAGGTCTCCAGAATATATTAACCCATAAGCACAAAAATATTGCTATCACCAGCTGGAATACAACATATTCTCGGAAATATGCTAATAATAGGATCCTATCACCTCAAGAGACAATCGTGAATATTATATGAAGAATATAAGTTTATTATCCTTGTCTGGTTTCATATATTTTTTCTTGATATTTGCTTTTCTTTTTCCTCCATGATAGGCTGTCTTAGGATATAGATAAGGGTTGGTATAATTTAGGGACATTAGTTGAACACGTTTGCTCTTGTATTATAGAGGATAACTTCTCATTTTTCAAACTCAATTCTTAATTTTCATAATAATTCCTCCATTCACTTGAATCTATGGGTATTGCCCTTTAAATTGTATAATTATTATAGCATTTTTTTATATTGATGCATTAATAATAATTTTTTTAAGTATTTAGTTCCCTATTTAATAGGCATTAATATAGTATTTGGGTTTATTACCATTAACTTATGCACACTATTGTGTTTAAACTGTTCTTTAAAGCCTTTTGTGTTTTTGATTTTAGTGGTTGCTATGGAGCTTCTCTCCATAGCAACAACCTCCCCATGATGCCGCCGGACGGGTGGTCACGTGATACGGTAATGACGCCGGCACTACGTGATGACGTCATTTTGACGCACGCATTGACGTCGGCGGAACCCGCGGGAGACCCGGTCTGAGCTGACAGGGAGATGCAATTACATTGGTGATGGGTAAGTAGATTGCTAATATGTATGTTGGTATATATGTATGTTTTTACAGTGTATGTGTTAATCCTGATGAAAGTCTGTGGTTAACAGACTGAAACGTCGATCTGTTTTTTGGAAACTGATTAAAAGTTAAGTTTTATATTTTTTTTGATTGAATAAGTCCTGGGAGTGCTATCTTGTTTTATTTATATATATATATATATTGTGGTAAAACTAGCCATTCTTGTGTAAAAGACTAAGTTGGTTCGTCTATTTTGACTTCATGAGCAGAACATGGACATATTGTTCGTGAAGTCAAACAAACTACCGAATGAGAGACCACACACTGCCATTTGTAACTGTTATTTTATTTGACAAATTGCCCTGCTTCCCTGTGCTATGGAGAAGCCTAATTGCCAGCCTTCTGCCCCATGACTATGGACCTAGTGTGTATGGCGATTTGACTGTATTTGTGGGATCTGAGCGCTGTTTGGATATATTGAGCGCTCAGATCCAAGCCATCTGGGGATAGGTTGAATGTGGGGGTTCTGTTCAGTATGATAGGAGTTATGCATTTTTGTGTCTTTTTGTGTCTTTTGCTAACATGTGGTTAATGGAGTCTGCCTCTATCCCTGGATAATTGGATTACTTTCCCCATTGTCCAGGATAGAGGGCTCTGTAAATCCGGTTTGGGCCAGAAAACCATGCTGCCAGCTAGGCCCCAAAAGATACTTTTGCTAACTTTTGAACCCCTTGTCTGATTTGTGCCAGTTTTAATATGTTGCTCCCCTGAATGGATTGATTCTAAATATGTATTTTTATGAAGATTGGATGTGTAGTTTGGAAGTTATAGTACATGTATAAAAACTGTATTTTTACTGTTCTGTTTTAATTATGTTATGTGTTTATCTGAGGGATGGGAATTTCCCCGAATGTATATTGTTCCGATTGGTTATACTGCTAATTATGTGGGTGTCTCCCTTGCATGGGCAGAATCTCATAAAAGCAGAGTGTGTGCCATTAAACATCAGATCTTCTTGACCCTCTAACTTGCAGCCTTGACTCATGTTTGTAGGGGACAGCTATAATCACTACAGGGATTGCTATGCTCTTCATACTCCCTTAGCTACTGAGCTCTTGTAAGAGCTCTTGTTCCTGATCCTGCTTCGCTCTACAGAAGGAAGAGGTTCACCTACTGGAACCTGGAGCCTGGTCGTGGGTCCAGGGCACAGAGCAGACGGCGAGATACCAGCCCAGCAGCGGTGGTTCGTGGAGTCTGCAGTACTTATGGTGGCTACGCAGTAGTTATGGTGTCTACGGTGCTGATGGTCCTTTGGTGAGCGCTAGGAGCATCCTTTTCTACGGTCCAACTTCCAGCCAGCCTGGAGGCAACCGTAACATCATGTGTCTCTAATTAAGAATTTGCAACATGTGGAAGCCGCAAGATCATAATGGTCGGATCGGTGGTCGCCATTCGTATGAACGAACACGTGGCGGCGGCCATCTTAGCGCATGAATGCCCAGCGGTGTTTGGTCGTCGAGTGTATGGAACTAAAATCAGACACTTGACCTTGCAAACACCGCTGGACTTCCATATCGTTCGTACGTGTACTTCCGTTCATCCAAACAGAGCGGTGTTTGACTAAATGAAACCACCGACCCCCAGATACACGACTAACCAGTTTATGAATATGTGCATTTGTCTGTTTTAGTCATATAAACTACCGAAAGCAGACCGGTCCAAAATTTCACTCGAATGGCTTTTCTGTTCTACCAAACGGATCTGAGCGGTATTTCGACAGATTGAGTGCTCAGATACCAGCTATTCAGTTAAGTATCTTTCATGGAGTTCTGATAAATATTATAAGAGTTATTATGTTTTTAAAATATTGTTTAACGTTCTGTACTGGGAGATAATTTAATTAAACGAGTGTTCTTACGCAATTACCTTCCCAGAACAGAAAAGGATCATGGGAAATGTAACTTTGTTCCTAGTCTTCCACAAGGTCCACCAGGGAAAAACCCCTGGAATGTCATTAAGGAAACCCCTTGCATGGGGATTTGTATAAAGCTGGCTGTGGTTCAATAAAAGTTCAGTTGACTCCCAAAACTGTGTTTCGTCCAGTTGTTGGGGAATGGGATTGGAGTTACTAAACTACCCTTTACTTGTATGCTGATTATGTCTACTAGCGGAGAAATTACAGTTTATACTTCTACTCCGCTACTTCTACTTGGCAACCAAGCAAGACCAAAAGAAAATGTTTCATAATTTCTCAGTACAGGAACAATGACTTGAAAAATAATCATGCTATCGTCATCAAACCAGCTGACAAGGAAGGAGCAGTAGTGATAATGAACACCCAGGACAAATGACAAATACTATAAAAAGCTAAATGAAGATCCCACCAAGGAATATACATTACAACTTAGGGAGCTCATTAAATCCTTCCCTGAGAATTTGCATCTAGAACTGCAATCACTCATACCAACTAGTCCCTACATGGGCACTTTCTATATGCTTCCCAAAATTCACAAAGCAGGTAATCCTGGAAGACCCATAATTACAGGAATGGGAACTCTCACAGAACAGATCTCAGGACTGGTAGAAAATACCCTAAAACCTCTAGTTACCAACAGCTTCCTAAAAGACACAACTGACTTCCTTAACAAACTCAGCCAAATCACCAATCTCCCTGCTAACACCATCCTTTTAACCATGTATGTGGAATCTCTGTACAGCAACATTCCACATACAGATGGCATCAATGCTTGCTTCCATTTCCTCTCTAATACCGACAACCCAAAATACAGCCCCCGAATTATCACAGAACTGGCCCTATTCATCCTCACACATAATTATTTCAGTTTTAACAATGCAACTTACCTACAAACCATGGGCAGCGCCATGGGTACTAAGATGGCACCCCAATATGCTAAGCTGTTTATGGCAGATATTGAACAGCGATTCCTAGAAATACAGCACACCAAACCATACAAATATTATCGCTCTATCGATGATATCTTCATAATTTGGACTGAAAGTGAAGAAAAACTGATACAGTTCCATGACTCTTTTAACTCATTCCATCCATCAAACTAAAAATGGAATATTCCACTAGATCTGTGAATTTTCTGGACACCACTGTGACATGTAACAATGGCACAATCCACACATCGGTTTATAGAAAACCCACAGACCGGTGCAGTTACC